TACAGACGAACGCACGGGAACGTGCGTCACCGTACGCTATGGTGTGGACGGGGCCTTAGGCAGCACATGCGTATAAACCAGCCGCCAGCCAGGTGATCGGCTGCAGATTGCTTTTTTAGGGGGCGGTAAAGTCTGCCGCACATGTGAACGTAGCCCTAGGGCCCGTTGAGCTCATCTGCTTGCGGTAACTTGTGGCGACGCATACATTGTGTCGCGCTGTCAAATAAAATAGTGCATGCATCCTTTTTTTGGCAATGCGCACGTTTCGGGGTAGCTACATTATGACACACGCACAAAAAACACTCCTAAGGACCCGGCTATTTGCGGTAGGCGTGGCATGAGTGCACTATGTTTTGGGTAACGCACAGCGGTTTGCACTCACATTGCCCCTAAGGACCCGTTCACACCATCCTTTTGCGGTAACACGTGAAAACGCACCTAAATGCGTTGTGTTTTGCTGGCCAAAAAAAATGTGCGTGCATTTTGAGGTGACTAAATTACACACACAAAAAAAAGTCCGTGAGGACCTGTTTGCACCATTTATTGCAGTAACGTGCAGCAACGCATGCACTATTTTTTGGGAGCACTCGGCAATACACTGTATTGATGAGTTGTCGTGTGTTGCGCTGAGCTGCAACGCATGAATGTCTGTCACAAGGTGCGTTGCACGTTACCACAGATTATTACGCATAGAAGTGATGGGTCAACAACTGCATTGGCAAACGCATGTTTTCTGGGCACAAACAGCGACCTATTATTGGATAAGGGACCAGTCACACTTAAGCATTCCGCTATGGTGCGTTTAAGTGCACATGCATCAATGTGCGTTGCGTTAAGGCAGCCTATTCTTTATGAATGGGCTGCCCACGCACCAGCGCAAATCAGGTCACATGCACCCTCTGCACTGCCAGGTCTGCTGCGGCCAATGAGATTTGCAGGCCTGCATTTAACGTGCATTCCAAACGCATGAAAGCAAGACCTGGTGACATCATCTCTGAAGATGCTTCTTTGTTAACCCTTGCAGTGCATGGGGAGGACATTAGAGTGTAAGCTCCTCTGTACAGAGACGGTCGTATCGGGCAGCTCCCGGGAAGGACAGGTGATGCGCGTGATTAGTACGCAGCCCCCGTCCTCCTCTATGGGACCACGCCGCCCTACGCTCACCGGCCTTGCACATCCGTGCTGGTGTGCGTACTCGTACGCTGAAAGGATGGATCCTGTCTGCGTCTGAGCCGGGACACCCGCACCCGTACGGACCTGCACTTGAGGTGAGCGTATGGCCGCGTACTCTGATAGCGGAGGACAGAGACTAATCACACGCAGCGCCTGTCCTTCCCGGGAGCGGCCCGATACGTCCGTGCACGCAGCACGGAGCTGTACATGCGTGCCGGTTCCCGTGTGAATGAGCCCTTATTAATCTTCCTGTTCCCGGGACACACAATGACGTGTGCGGCTATCACGGGATGACATTTCCAGTCACATACCTGACCCGGAGATCCTGCGAACTGATATGTGATGATCTCCATCACAGGTGACGTGATCAGTGCAGGGCGGTACACTGATTATCACACCTGCACAGTGATCGCACAGACCGGGGGGGCGGAGCTTAAGGTCATAGTCCACCAATGTGCACCAACACTGATGTAAAAAATGTGCATTTATTAATATTTTTGCCTTGGAGTCTGATAAGCATTGTAACCGCCATCAGAGGATCACAGGTGCAATGCTCTGACTTGCTCCTGCAGACTATTCCTCCCCCTCCCCCCCTGTCCATACCGAGGTGCAGACTTCCAGGTGTATAACTGGACGAGGTTATTAATGGACCGCAAGCGATGTCGCCGCACTGATGCTTCCAGTGAGTCCGGCGGTGGCAGACAGGATTGTATTTTTTCATTCGCATAACCGTGTGATACAATAAGACCCCGATCACACCCGGGCGCCGCTGTGGCGCGCGTTCCTGCACTTCAGCCCTCGTTCACACCTGAACGTTTTGTAGCGCGTTCTACGCTCGACGAACGCTCTACAAAACGCTCAAACATCTAAATCCCATTGTAGTCAATGGGTCTCGTTCCCACCTCGGCGTATTTCCGCCCGTCCCTAACGCGCTACAAAACGGCCCGCGCCTGAAAAGGTACAGGTACTACTTTGGGCCGTTTTTGTTGCGCGCTTCCATTGGGATACAGCCAAGTAGCCCTCGGAAACGCGCGTTTGTCGCGCGATTTTTACCGCGAATCGCGACAGACGCGCATATGCAATACGCCTAGGTGTGAACCAGGGCTCACACCTGGGCGTCGCAGTTCCTGCACTTTTGCGGGCATGCTTCCCGTGTTTGGCATACGTTTGCATTGATTTCAATGGGTCCCCGGAGGTGCGCCGAACGTGGGAAAGTAGAACATATCAAACGTTTTGCAACGTGTGTCTGCTCGGCTGCAATAGTAATGGCACCGGCAGGTACGTTCTGCGTTTTTGCGCATTTCTGATTGGCACACATCCATGTTGATTTCAGTGAGCACGCACCAAATACGGGAACGTAGAACGTGTTACTGCAACATGCGTTCTGTTTTGCAACATGCGTTCTGTTTTTGTTTTGTTCTCGTGCATTTATAGCGACCTCACACGCGTGAAAACAACACGTTTGCTTGGCCACGTTTGCGGCGCCATTAACTAGCAATGGCACTGCTAGCGCTTTCTGCGTTTAGGGCCCAGTCACACCAGCAAGAGTGCGTTGCAATGAGTTCGGCCTCTGGAATGCAACCCTGCCGGCTCACTTTGTTTTGGGGGGGGAGGGGGTGTGGCGTTGCATTGAACTCAATGGCACCTCAGCCAAATGACAGGTAGAAGCTGATTGGTTGCCATGTGTGACCGCTCCAGATTCCCCTCAATGTATCCAGAGATGAAACAGTGCCACCTACAGGCAGTGCTGGTAACACGTCCTCCTAACAAGCCCCGGAATGCAGCACATGTGAAAGCTCCACCATGGAAGTTTATTTCTTCACAGCAAGCGCTGGATAAAAACCAGACAGCTGCTGACGCGTTTTAGCCAATCCTGGTTTTAGTTGTAGCTTCGACTGAGGCCAGGATTTGTCGGAAACGCGTCAGCGGCTATACTCTTGGGACTTGTAGTTCCGTACTAGCTGTATGCTGCTATCTGGGCACTGGGATTGCTGGGACTTGTAGTTCCCTATTGGCTATTGCTATATAAGACCAGGGGCTGCTAGGACTTGTAGTTCCGCATTGCTTGCCTGCTGCTATCTAGACACTGGTACTTCTGGGACCTGTAGTTCTGTGTTGGCTGTGTGCTACTATCTGAACACTGAGACTGCTGAGACTTGTAGTTCTACATCGGCTGTGTGCTGCTTTCCGGACACTGAAACCGCTGGGACTTGTAGTTCCACATTGGCTGCATACTGCTATCTGGACCCTGGGACTGCTGGGATTTGTAGTTCCACATTGGCTGCGCGCTGCTATCTGGATACTGAGACTGCTGGGACTTGTAGTTCTACATTGGCTGCATGCTGCTATCTGGACCCTGGGACTTGTAGTTCCACATTGGCTGCATGCTGCTACCTGGACACCGGGACTGCTGGGACTTGTAGTTCCATGCTAGCTGCGTGCTGTTCTGTGCACACTGGGATTGCTGGGACTTGTGGTGCTACCCTGACACGAGTGTCATCATTGCTGGAGTTGGTGGGGCCCCTCGATTCCTATCTTGCAAGTGGTTGGAACTCTGACCCACACTTGTTATATCTGCCCCTCCATTCGGGTCCCTCCTGCCCTATTGTGTGCTGGAACCCCCCCCCCCCCCAGTAGAACCGTGTCAGTTATATTCTCTGCGCCCTACCAGTGGAAGGAGACAAATCCGGTAATCGATCAAAACTACGAACTTATCGAGTTGTGGGACCGCATTACTTCCGGTTTCCTCAGAACCCGGGTGGGCCGTCATCAGCTTTCACTTCCTTCTAAACTGAGTTTCCACTTCTGCGTCTCTGAGATGCGGACACAACGCCTACCGGCTCCGTACTGACACCAGGGACCCCCCCCGGGGGCGCAGAGAGGACGCACAGGGACTGAGCAAGAGAACATCGTGACAACATACAGACTGTACTGCCTGTTCAGCCAAGCTGTAACCTATATACACAGGTATGTAGCTGGATTTCTGCTATTGCAGCACTGGGATCCTGGGCTCAGTTCCCCCGTCAAGGCCCACCGTCTGCATGGAGTTTGTATGTCGGTGGGTTTTCGGCATGTTGCTCCTCCTGTCTCTTCCATAACCAAAAAAAAAAACACACACACTGAGGAGTTAAAGGAGAACGATGGGGTCAGGGCTTTTCCCCATAGTTCTCCTAAGGGTAACGGGAGGACACAAACTAGCGTCCTCCCGTCACCCTAAGCTCAGTATATAGGGAGCTGCAGCTCACGGTATACTGAGGAGCCGCAGCTGGAACGGATCCCGACAATTATGTCTGGATCCGCCCAGCTGCGTGAGTGACAGCTGGCTCTGCCTATCTAGAGGCAGAGCTAGCTGTACCCGCCCCCTCCCCCGTCCAATCTGCCAGTCAGCCCTGGAGGAGCGGGGAGAATCCAGCCCCTCCCATGTCATGGCAGAGAGCCGTGACAGGATCGAGAGGTAAGCGAACGCCGGTATGTCTTCGCTCACTTCCCGATCTACTGAGCCGACCTGTGGCAGTCTCATTGTCACAGGTCGGCTAGAACTATGAGGTGAGTGAAAAGCCCCTCCCCCTCATAGTTCTTCTTTAATCAGCTTCTAGTCCAAGCCGGCTGTATTACCAGGGACTAGGGATGAGCTCCGGTTTAGACTAGGGATGCACCAATAACGATTTTTCGGTATGGAGTACTGATATTTTTTTTTTTCCGGTACACGCCGATACCGGAAGTACCATCAAGGAAGCCAGACTGCGTCTAATGACTCGCCTCCCGGCTTCCAGATTAGCAGGGAAGCCTTCCCTATGCTCCCTCGTCACTAGGTGACGAGAAAGCATGGAGCCGGCTTTCTGGCCAATCAGAAAACCGGGCGGTGTGTAATGACGCCACCGCGCCCGGCTTCCTGATTGGCCGGGAAGCCAGCTCCTTGCTCCCTAGTCAGGCTTCCTGATTGGCCAGCTTCCAACCAATCAGGAAGACGGGCAGCGTGTCATTACAAGCTGCCAGGCTTCCTGATTGGCCCGGCAGCCGGCTCCATGCTCTCTCGTCACAAGTGGCCAGCTCCTGGACCAATCAGGAAGTCATTACACGCTGCCCGGCTTCCTGATACTAGAAGTATCGGGCTAGGCATCGGAGCATTTGGGCGAGTACCCAAATAATCGGCACCGATACTAGTATCGGTGCATTCCTAGTTTAGACCAAACTTAGAAGTGCCATAAGGGCACCGGAGCAATCAGCTGCGGGGGCTGGGGCATTCCTCACCCCGCAGCTGCACATCAACAAAGGGGAGGGATGCTTGTGCTGAGGTCATTGACCTTATATGGCCACGTGACCATATTAGGTCAATGTCAGTGACCAAGTATAGCCATATAAGGTCATTGATGATGTCACTGCATCCTGCCCCCTTTGTTTACGTGCAGCTGTCGGTGTCGAATTCATATTTTAGGCACGAAGATTACTTATAGTCTAGCTGGATGAGCCAACAGGGCCACCCACGATTCAGCCGGAACTGCTCAAAATACAATCTGTATATGGCTAGCTTGATTTTGGTGACCTTGCCAGAAACACACTTTAGGTTCATGCATGTTATGTCAAGCGTTCCCTTTCACTGTGGTCCCGTACTAGGGTGACAACGCTGCTCCTCCATCGCTACAGTGCAGCGAGTGAGCGTTGTCACCCCAGGACAGGACTACAGTGCACATTACCGCTTTACATAATGCACATTAACGCACCACAACCAACCAGATAGATCTGAGTGGACCCCAAAAATACTTTGTAATATGACAAGGTATTCCTCAAACACACTGAAACCCATATGCACATGGCCTTAGTAACGCTTGTGGAATTGCGCAGGTCTCCATAGCAGGATTGTCCTAGAGTTTGGGGTCAGACAGCCATCATGGGGGGGGGGGCTGTTAGGATTCACCAATTCTTTATGCTCCTGTCTTAAAAGAGAACTTTGGGGTCACAGGGTGACGGGAGGACACAAACTAGCGTCCTCCCGTCAACCAAAGCTCAGTATATAGAGAGCTACAGCTCGCGGTATACTGACACGCCGCAGCCGGGACGGATCCCGACATAGTTCAACGCTTCATTTTTAGGAATGGCGTCTGCAGACATGAGAGATGAGCTGGAGTGCTCCATCTGTCTGAACATCTACACGGATCCCGTCACGCTCAGATGCGGACACAACTTCTGCCGGGTCTGCATCGACCGCGTGCTGGATACCCAGAAGAGCTCCGGAGTTTACACCTGCCCGGAGTGCAGAGAAGAGTTCTACGAGCGTCCCGCGCTGAGGAAGAACACGACTTTAAGCAACATAGCGCAGCGCTTCCTCTGTGCGGAGCCAAAGCCGGGAGAGACCCGAATTCTGTGCACCAACTGCATTCACGCTTCTGTGCCCGCCGTTAGGACTTGTCTACTGTGCGAGTGCTCCTTGTGCGAGAACCACCTGAGAGTCCACAGCACCTCACCGGAACACGTCCTCGTGGAACCCACCAAATCCTTCGCCAGCAGAAAATGTCCCGTCCACAAGAAGGTCCTGGAATATTACTGCACGGAGGACGCCGCCTACATTTGTGTCTCCTGCCGGCTGGATGGAGAACACAAGAAGCACAAAATAAGCCCGATGAAGGACATCGCTGAGAAGAAGAAGGAAAAGCTGAAGACGCTCCAGAAAAAACTGCGCTCGAAGCAGGAGAAGATCGGGAACAGGGTCCAGAAGCTAAAGGAACACAGGAGAAAAGCTGAAGAGAAAGCAGCCGGAGAAAGCCAGAGAGTCACGGCCCAGTTTGAAGACCTCAAGAGACGGCTGGAGGACATCAAGAAGAAGGTCCTGAGTGAGATCTCCAGGCAGCAGGAGCAGGCCTCGCTCTCCGTCTCTCATCTTCTCAAGAAGCTGGAAATCGAGCAGGACGAGCTGTCCGGAAAGGCGCAGAGGATTGAGAAGCTGCTGAAAATGACAGATCCCTTCACAGTGTTACAAGAACGGGAGTCGCTCAACGATGACTCTTCTGACTCCAGGAAAGGGGACGAGGAGGACAGAAAGCAAGAGGACAAAGTCTACAAGAGCGATCTGGATGAAGGTCGGATCTCGGAGACTTTATATGGCGGCCTTTGCGATCTCATAACCTGTATAAAAGGAAGGATTTCTCCGGATAAGGCAACGCAAGTCCTACTGGACGTGGACACGGCTTGCGAGGACGTAGATATATCGGGGGACTTGAAGACGATCTCCAAATCGGAAATGAAACAGTATCACCCTCAGAGGTTTGTGTATTATCCGCAGGTGTTGAGCGCCTGCCCCTTCTCCTCGGGGCGGCACTCTTGGGAAGTGGAGGCGAGTGATACTGGAAATTGGAGGATTGGAGTGTCTTACTCTACAGTTGACAGGAGCGGGGATCAGTCCTATTTTGGAGACAACAGCAAATCCTGGTGTCTTCGTCGCTTTAACAATAGTCAGTATTCTGCAATACACGATGGCAAGGAGGTCTCCTTAAAAGACAAGGTCTCCAGTCAGAGGCTGAAGGTCTTTTTGGATTATGAGCTGGGTCAGGTGTCCTTTTATGAGCTGTGTGACCCGATTCGACACCTCCACACCTTCACTGCCACCTTCACCCAGCCCCTCCATGCTGCCTTCTGTGTGTGGGATGACTGGGTGAAGATCACAACGTGAACGTCTCAAGTGACGCAGTGCGGGTTCATCGGCGAGCAGAGGGAACCTCGGCACTCAATCTGTTATGGAACTGCAAATCCCACGACACTCTGACAGGCATGATAGGATTTGCAGTTTCACCACAGCTGGAGGGTCCAGGTCCCCTACCCCGGAACTAGCGTCACAGTTTGCTTTAGCCCTGTAATCTCTGAGGGTCCTGTCGCACCATATGCAGTGCATTCCGCCGCGGTTCGCATACATCAAGCCGCGCTGCGTTCTAGGACGGGAGCGAGTTTTTGTGACATGACGTTCCAATAAACGAACACTGTGGACTGCAATATTGTTGGCGTGCTGGTGACATCCATTTATTTTGTATTGTTTGGTGGCGCCGTCCGCAGTCACTGTGAGCACCCCTCCCCCCCCATCTAATTTTTGGTTTTCGCAGTAAGGAGTGTGACAAGGTACCTTTTATATTTGTTCTGGGAGGGAGCATGGCGGTGCATGCACTATTTTTTCCAATCACACTGCACCGGAACGGAGGGTATTCCTGTACCTCACAATCGGATGTGGGCCGGGGGAGTGTCTGCGGCGCCATTGACAGGAATGCCACCGCCTCGCCCCAGAACGCGGCCTGGCTTGATGTATTCGATCCTGTGCGTTCCGGGCTCAAACCACGCCGGAACGCATTGAATATGGAGTGACACAGCCCTACAACTCTGTCATTTCACTGCTGGAGAATCCAAAGAAGAAGCTGTAAGTGTGCTGCCTATCAATGAGCTTGATGATGTTATGTACTTGTTCATGTAAAACCAACTTCTCCACTTAGCGTGAGGTAGGAGAGAACTGATCTTTAGATCCATGTAGAAGAGAACTGACCCCCATCAGATCTTTTAGTGTCAGGTAGAAGAGAAGTAGACCCCCGCCAGATCTTTAGGGTCAGGTAGAAGAGAAGTAGACCCCCGCCAGATCTTTAGGGTCAGGTAGAAGAGAACTAGCCCCCCACCAGATCTTTAGGGTCAGGTAGAAGAGAACTAGCCCCCCGCCAGATCTTTAGGGTCATGTAGAAGAGAACTAGCCCCCCGCCAGATCTTTAGGGTCAGGTAGAAGAGAACTGACCCCCATCACATCTTTAGGGTCATGTAGAAGAGAACTAGCCCCCCGCCAGATCTTTAGGGTCAGGTAGAAAAGAACTAGCCCCCCGCCAGATCTTTAGGGTCAGGTAGAAAAGAACTAGCCCCCCGCCAGATCTTTAGGGTCAGGTAGAAGAGAACTGGCCCGCTCCCGATTTTGGATTGTCGCTTCATTAGTGTGCTTTTTGGTGCACTTGGCTTGAAAAGGAATCCAAAGAAGTGACTAAAAAATGGTCTTATAGAACTCCACGAATTTAAAAAAAACCTCAACCCTTTCAGCTGGGCTACCCCCACTTTACAGGGGTTAAGTGCTCAAATAAAGCAGATGTACTCACCTGATCCTCCGTCCCGCTGAATCCCTCTAGGCTGTTAGACTCGTCCCTGCAGCCTCTCCCCTGAGCTCCTCCAGTCTTAAGCTGGTCCATCGTCTTGATTTAGGGGTAAGGATGCTGCCGAGGGACATTCCACAGCCGGAGCTGTGAGTCCTGACCGCAGCGCAAGCGAGGATCAGGCGAGTATATCTGCTGTTCCCTTCTAAGCAACTTTATTCTCAAAGCAAAGCTCGCACCTTGTGCCGCCATCCTAAATGTATGAGAATCCAAAAAGGTGACCGCAACAAGGTCTTAAGTATCGGGAGTACCAGTGCTTGGGGAAGAGGCATTCAAGGGCTGGAAACATAGCATTGTCCTTACAGAGGTTGTATTTTAATACTGTTTATACATATATATATCTTTATGAGCTTTTTGTAAATTGAAACGTAAAGAACTCGGGAAATTTAGAAAAAGGCTACCCCTACCCTGCAAGGGTTAAGTGCTCATTTTGTCTAGGGGACTCAAAATTACATTATTTGGCTTTGTAGACAATTGGAAAGTTTATTTGTGCTGATAAAAAAAAAAAAAATCCACTGTTGCTTTGCAGTGGCGAGCTAAACATTTTCCTCCTGACGCAGGAAGATGTCCCGGGTGTAACGTGGTGCCGCGCTGGTACATACTCCAATAAATGTTCTACATCTGCAGGCTGAGCTGTTAATATTTTATTGTATTTATTCACCTTTCACCAAATATGCAAAAAATGAACTACGTGTACAGAATTATATATCACACTCTTTCCTTCATCCTACCAGACTGCATTCCACAGAGCTGTATAGAGGACACTGAGCCATTCACATCAGTCTCTGCACCAGAGGAGCTCACAGTATAATGAACCCACCACAGTCACACACTATTATTATTATACATGTATGTAGCTCTGACATATTCCGTAGCGCTGTACAGAGAACACTGAGCCGGTCACATCAGTCTCTGCACCGTAGGAGCTTACACTCTAATGTCCCCCCCACACTATTATTATACATGTATGTAACTCTGACATATACCACAGCGCTGTACAGAGAACACTGAGCCGGTCACTGCACCAGAGGAGCTTACACTCCCCAGACTCCTCCCTGGACTCCAGTGCTGTAACACCACAGTACTGACTGTTTATAACGGAAGAGAACAGACATAATGAGGTGAAGGCACACAGGAAGTTATGCATCATGGAAAGGAAATCTCTTGTTTTGTGAGCAGCAAATTCCTGCAATGTTCCGGGGCCCGCCGGGCATATGGAAATGAATCATAATCTGATCGGCTTGTATCGGAATATAATGCATCCTGTCATTTAAAGTGAAACTTTTGTATTGCTAAAGAGAAAAAAAAAAAAAAAACTCCCCCAAATTCTCTGGACATGGCAAAGATTTTAAGCAAACGTACCCGCTTCCGTTCCGTAGACACTGAGACGGCTCATTCTAGGGCACTTGCTGAATGTTTTCTTTACAACTTGAGTCACATACGAGGCCGTTCCTTTAGAATAGGACATGATCAGTCGTCATGTAATAAATCATCGCGCACTCTTCAGTGATTTAGAATGGAGTTTCTGTCACCCGAGGATAGAAAATACCAATACAGGAGCCCGCAGGACACGGCCACATTCTATGCCCGGGTCTGCCTGTAATTGGAGTTCAAGCTTTCAACAGGCTAGTAGGAAAGGCATTAGATTTATACATGGGCGAACGGAAGAGCATTCTGGGAAATCCACTATTGAACTGTACAGCCATGTGATCAGGGGCGGACTGACGACACATGGGGCCCCCGGGCAATACAATATTATGGGGCCTCCCTTGTGCTCCACCCATATATAAGCCACCTTCAACGGCCAAAGGGCTGCTGTACAGGCTATGCACAATATTCTCTATAGCCCGTACAGCAGCCGAGCCGAACCCACAGGCTTCGGCTTGGCCGAGTCGTATTCACAGCCGAAGCAGGAAGAAAAGGTCAGCCGAAGCCGACCGATCTCCACGCAGATGACAGCTGGGCGGAGCCAGTCGTGATTTCACGGCTGGCTCCACACAGTTGTAATAACAGATCAGCGTCCCCAAATGACCTGGGGATGATGATCGGTCATTAAACAATAACAACTGGGCAGAGCCGGCCGTGACGTCACAGCCGGCTCCACCCAGTTATTGATTGGCCGGGACCTGCTAGAAGACTCTGGCAGGTGCCAGCCAATAGGAAACAGGAGGTGCGGCGTTTTTTTTTTAAGTTTAAAATATATTTTTTTAAATTTAAATTTTCCTATTTTTTTTAAACAATTTTTCTACATTTTTTTTTCTCAATTATTTAATTTTTTTCTATTCTGCTCGCTACCACTGAGGTACTGAGCAGAATAGCCGAGCCAAATGCTGTTTGCGGCATTTGGCTATTACTTACTGCGGTTCGGCCCCTATGTGAATAGGGGCGGACGGCAGTGAGTGAGCTGCCGGAGCTTCAGGCTCAGCCGATCCAGATGTTGGATCGGCTGAGTCGAACTCCTCCTGCACTTCAGCTCAGCCGAGCATACAGAGCATGTTCGGCTGGCCGATGTTCGGCTAATTTTAGCCCATGTACGGCTGAAAATCAACCGTACAAGGCTGAAGTGAATAGCCGCACAGCGTTCAGCTCACTTCACTTCGGCTCAGTTATTCACTCGGTGAATAACCCCCCCTAGCGTTTGCACACGGGACGCAAACGCTATATGTGAAACAACTGCACGGATTCCGCTCGTTTGCAGCTATCATATAGCCGCGAACGTGCAGAATCCGCTGGATTATCGCGCTTGCACTATTTTGGGGGCCGTGCGGTTTTCCACAATAGTCTGATAAAGCACATAAAAGCGCATTGTTTTTTTCTGTTTAGAGCGGCTCTGCTGGTATTCGGACAGCCGCTCCAGTGTGAATGGAGCTGTAACCCGCACGACCCCCAAAATACTGCAAGCGCGATAATCCAGCGGATTCCGCACGTTCACCACTATATAATTGCCGCAAACTAGCGGAATCCATGCAGTTCACATATAGAGTTTGCGTCCCGTGCGGGCTCCCACATGAAAAACGGCCTGGAAGCGCAAATGCTGTATGTGAATGGAGACTAAAAGGTTAACAGTTTACAGCTAAAAAAATAAAAAGTCATTAAAATTCACTTACCAGCATCAGGGCTCCCGATCCCCAGTCGGGGTTTTTGTAGAACTGCTCCAGTGGGGGGCCCAGGGCCGGATGTCAGTAGGTCCGCCCTCCGCCCACTGCGACACGCTGGAGCTCTTCTCGGCCGCGCCGCTGTAGGAGATGCGGCTCTGCTAAAGCGGCAGTGTATAATGGGCCCGGGAGGAGGGCGACACTGCCGTTGCCGCTTTAATAAACCCGCGTCCTCTTCTATGCGGGCTGAAAGGGGCACGGGTGTCGGTGACGGGCCCCCTCTTTGGCCGCGGGCCCTCGGGCAATGCCCGACTGCCCGTATGGTCAGTCCGCCCCTGCATGCGATGAAGAGTGGGGCCAGACTGGAGGTATTGCCCGGCCACCGTTTGTGCCGATGGGTTCAGTCCCAATCGCCTGTCTGTCGCTTTGCTACACTCTATGGTCTTAAAGAAGAACTCCAGGAATGAACAAAGTTAACCCTTGCAGTAGGGCTAACTCCACTCCCACTAGTGGATGAGACCAGTGTTCAGTCCCTCAGCGCTAAAACTCTTTCCATGGTAAACCCAGCAATTGTGGAAAATGTGAAAGATGCCCAGCAGTGCAATTGCCCGCACAGCCTACTCAATAGTGAGTCTTCAGAGACAGGAAAAGCCCAGTGGCAATGCCACAGCTCTGGACATGGAAGACACATCACAGCCAATTCCGGTGTCCCTCAATGGATAAGAAAGAAATGGTTTTTATATTTCTCCCTGTGCACCTTGAAAAACCTTTGGGGAGTGAAAACACAACTTCATGCATTCAGTTTATGGAGGAAATCGACCTTCAGTGAAAAAAATACAATGAACACAATGAGGTTATTATTAGAGAAAGGCTTTAATTAATCCAAAAATAATTTCTTTGCCATAACAAAGCTCGCTTTCACAATCTCATTTTTTTAGAGCCAGTTTTCCTCTCCCATCTGAAAACCAAACATATCATTTATCACCTTGATATATGTCCGACCTAAAATTAAAAGGAATAATCCATCCAGGGATTATACTAAGGGAGGGGGTCTATTGATAAATGTTTTCACCCAAGGTTTATACAACTTTCTCCCAGGATTCACACATTCCAAAATCAATCATATTAGAAAAATGTAAACCGTGGGTGAACGTTGTGTGAATCTTGTATAAATAGACCCCCCTAGGCTGTTCTAGCACAGCAATAAACATGTAGAAGTATAATAAACATATAACTGCATGAAATCACAAAGGCCTCTCAGACGTCAGGAGAGTGGTATGCCGTGTTTACATTCACCCGCTCTGCACAGCAAAGCTTCAGATCCACTGCTAAGGCATATGCGAGATTAATAAACACTGATGTCAGCAGGTGATTCGGAGCAGAGTTCCTATGTCCTGTGTGTTCATCCTCCTTCTCCTTTAATAGTCCCTTGCTTTGCCCCACCCCTTTCCATTTAACAGGTCGCCCTGTATTACTTCTATACACACGGGGCCCCTATTCATACAAAACCTCTGCTGGAATCCCCATGATTTGATAACCACCATCATCATGTACGCACAGGGCAGCACAGGAGAGAAGGAACGCATGCAGGAATGATTGATTTTAAAGCCCTGCACACATAAGAACAGAAAGAAACAAAGTGCCTAAGCACATAAGGCATTTAGGAACCTGGGAGGATGCCATATATTGCAATGGAAAATACTTAAATAAAAATTCTATCATATGAGATTTTCTTGTCGTCTTTAACATCTGTTGACGCGTAAAAGGAGAACGCACACTTGCTGGATGTTCCCCCGGGCTGCTGCGTTACAGAACATCCTCGGGGGTTTGAAAAGAGAAGGTGCGCAATAAGCTGATCGGCTATAGCTCTGTATTAACAGACGTGGCCGACATCATGGAGACGGTGCGTGTACAATCCCTCCAAGTATCCCACTCTGCATGTTTGACTTTCTGTGACCAAGACGTGTACAGCCGAACGCCACTCCCTCCACACGCGGCGGCTTTGTAGAATCGCCCCCTCTGGGATAGCAGCTTCATCCAATCCGAAAGCTGCCCCCCCCCTCGGACGGTTTGCTGGGCTGCAAAGTGGGCAATACGCCCTCAGTAGGCCTTCATCTTCTTGACGGAGGCGGCGGCAGCCTTTCCGTCCTCTTCCAGATCCCGTTTGCCGCTGGCGGACCGCACAGAGTCAGCCGCTGAGTTCTCGGCTTCTTGCTGGCTGCGCTCTCTTTTCTCTTTCCTTTCCTCCATCTCTACAAGATACTCGGCGAACAATGCTTTGATGGGTTCCATTAACCTGGGGAGGATTTTAAAATCGCTCCATCGGATCTTAGGGAGGGAAAAAAAAACCCAGTTAAATGTCAGTCGGAGGTTAAGACGTCACACAGCGCAGCAATGCAGGTTAAAATGCAGAAAATACACAGAAATATTAATATGATTGGGCGGCTCTACAGCCATGGAGTTTGATTTTGGCCCTTGCAAGGCCGGGGGTATGGGATATGCCCAAGATCCTTAAATGGTTAAGCATTTCAGGATCTCCCTATAAAGCATCTATATAGCGGACATTCTGATCAATGAGGAGGGGAAAACTCACCCGCATGTGGTCAAAGGAGATTCCCACCTTGCTGCTGAATTCAGGATCGCTCATAAGCGGCAGTTTGGAATATCTCTGGCTGAAGTGGTTCAGCATCACATACTCGGCGTTCATCTGCTTCCCCACACCAATGGCCTGCGACGTTGTGCTATAAATCATACAAGGGGAAAGAAAAGTGACATTTAGCTTGCAGGTTATCCAGTCGCCCGGAAAATACAAAGTTCACTTTGCCCAACGGGTCGAATTAATGAACGGTGTTTATAATAAAAGGCTACTTCCGACGTCTCAGGCCCCATTCACACTGAGCGATTTATTTTTGCAGCGATATCGCTCATATTTCCACGCGATATTGCTCTATGCAGCTTCTCCAATCCATTTCAATGGAGCTGTTCACATCTCGTCGCTCAATATCGCTTGTAGCTCGTCGCTCCTACATGACCCTTTTTTCGAGCGATATTGCTCCTGATTGCATACAGCCCAATAGGAAAAAGTCGCACGACAAGTCGCTCAAAATCGCGCGATTTTCATGTCGCTCAGTGTGAATGGGGCCTCAGAGCGCAGATCCCTCCAACCCACAACAGGGACCCTACACCACTACTGTCTACAACACAGCATGAAGGACAACGTCCAACTCATGCCTTGATTGCTGCTGAAGCTTAAACTGACAAATCTCAGGAGTTAAACCTTAAGGCCATTCACACGAGAAACGGCCGGTACGTACAGCTCCGTGCACAGTCTTATCGGGCAGCTCCCGGGAAGGACAGGTGCTGCGTGTGATTAGTACGCAGCCCCTGTCCTTCTCTATGGGAGTATGCGGGCGTACACCATTCAACTAATCCACTAATACAATGACCAACTCTGTACTTGGCACTGCTGCATCTATGCACACAATCCCACTCTCTACTCTTACACTAGCACCCACTACACCAACATCTACTACCGAACTCTTGGACGGACACACACACACTCTTCTGCTAGCAGTATATATAGAAAAACAAACAGGAAAGTTACTAGGACCACAAATATGACTCTGCTGTTGAGGTCCCCTCTGTGTTCCTTCTTTAGGCTTCCTAAACCTCCCCTAGCTCCCAGTGCCTGACACATGTTAGAAAGCATATAGCAGCTTTGGTACCTGTGCGCCTTTTCAATTGCATCTTGCTCTAATCCATCTTCCAGCGTGGCTTCGTGGATTAGTAGTGTGGCGTCTTTTCCTGGAGGCGAAAAAAAAGCAGATCTCAAAGTTACTTAACTGCAGAAAAGAATAAATCATGGGAAGATGTTAGGGTTGCACAGATACCAAGTACAGTACTCGGTACAAGTACAAGTACCGATACCTTTGAGCTCCACGACTAGACTAGAGAAAAATTCAAACTTTAGGAGGCAGCTGTCATTTGTAAGGAGCACACGGAGCTCCCGGGATTTGTACATCTGTTTTAATGTACGATTTTGTTTTTATAAATATAGGGATGCACAGATACCAGTTTTGCGAGTACGAGTACTGGTACTTGCCGAGTACTTACAAGTACTGATACATTTTTTGTCTATGGTCATGTGACAGTTTTTCTAAAGCAATACAGACTAATGATTTCAGGACAGTGGTGGAGCGCCAGAGCCCGGTCCCAGCTGCAACCGCTGCAGCCCTGGGAGTTCTCATGAAAATGCCAAGCATCGGCACTGGTACTCGGCACTGGCATCGGCACTGGTACTCGAAAAGTATCTTAGCATCCCTAGAAGATGTGCATGTGCAGCAGAGATGTACCGATACTTTTCCTACTACCGAGACAAACACTGAAGTATGAGAAGAAGTAGAAGAGATTTAGAAGCTTTTCCAAAATATCCTCATTTTGTGCTGTCCAATGGTGCATTGCAAGACTAACAGTTACAGGCATGACTCCCAGCGGCATGTTGGGATTAGTTAAAGCACAGCTGCAGGACTGGAGGTGCCCACCTCTGGTCTTAACTAAAGAGGCTTGTTTACTCTTAATCAATAAAGGTCTCCTTTCTTCTAGATCTGTGCAGTAATCCAGCACTTTTCCTCTGTGCTGGAGTATCCTGTGATAAACACAGGCCTCCGCCTCCTCCTGTAATAAAAGGCCAATCACTGCTGCTCTCTCTCCATGTCCAGGGTGACTGTTTCATGCCTGACCCCAGATATGAAGTTTTTCTGGTGGGTGGAGCCTGCTTGGTCCCCTTCCACAGCTCTGCACAGGCTATGAGCAGCCTAGTGATGACATCACTATTACAAGGTAATATCTAGTTCCGGGCAAAGCCATTCGGTGCACACAAAGTTGATATTGTATCCTTTGTGGGTATTCAGGAATATATTAAAATCAAAAGTTCTTGCATCCGTAGTTCAGCTTTAATAAAACGCAGTCATGTACGAGAACACTAGAACAATCCCTTTACCATAAGATCATAAAACCACATTCTGCTCACCCATTTTAATGAGAGCGTCGCAGGGCATGGTGTCTCCGGAGAAAACCAGCTTCCAGCCAGCCTGGTGGACCATTGCACAACCAAAAGCGTTTTTACAGTGGCGTACGTAACAGGTCTGAAACTGAGAGGTGAAATTAGGTCAGAAAAGAGGAATAATCATTCATCATTTTTTTTTTTTAAATCAAGTCATTTTTATTAAAGCTTTGCAGAGACATAACAATACAGTGACATGTTGCTTTCGGTACAGAATGATTACGTACAGATGCACAGAATATTGTCAGCAATCAAATCACAAACACACTAGGAAAGGGTATACAAATACAGAGGACTCCGGGGAAAGAACCAAAAAGCATCTTAACAACTAGTAGGGGTACAAAGCTTGCATAGGTCCTAGAATGCGCCTCTCAACCTCCAGTTCGTGGTCCCTCCTACATCCAGACAGCCCACACGTTTGCACAACCATGTCAGAGATCATTAACCCTATAAGCTATCTCAAAACGACTCTACCGAGTTCCTTCAGTATATGGCCACTTCTGCATGGGGAGATAGGATACAAAACACCTACCACAAGGATACAAAACACCTACCACAAGGATAACACCTATCCCTCCCCCACCTCAACTGCCACTTGAGGTAAGGTGCCCGGATCTGTGTATCCATTTCGTCCATGTATTATGGAATTTAGAGATATTATCTCTGTGTTGGAATATCACTCTTTCGAATGCAATCAAGCGGTCTAGCTCCTTTATCCACATGCCTACCGTGGGAACCATTGAGGAGAGCAGAGGAAAGGAGGGGGAGAGGGCATTGTTCACTCTAATCCTGGCAGACGGTGTTGCATACAGAAGCTTCACCCATAAAATGAACCGTGGTCCAAAACCAAATTGAGACAACACTTCCCAGAGATACTCCCACGCCACGCTATCAAAGGCCTTTGCAATGTCAAGATAGAGGAGCGCCCTGCCACCCTGTGTGTCAAACGGAGCCTGCAAGTTTAGGAAGACCCTACGAACATTTATCGAGGTGGATTTGTTAGGCATGAAGCCGGTTTGGTCTGGGTGTACAATTGAGGTGATGACCCTGGAAAGCCTAAGAGCTAACACCTTGGCCAAGATTTTAACATCAACTCCAAGTAAGGAAATTGGTCTATAGGACTCCGGAAGCAGGGGGTCCTTCCCTTTTTTAGGAATAAGGACCACCGCCGCGTCATACTGAGATTGGGGCAGCTGACCCGATCGAAGTGCATCATTATAGACGTCTAACAGGGCTGGCAACAATACTGAACCACACTTCTTATAAAGCTCTATAGGAATACCGTCCAGACCAGGCACTTTACCATTAGGGAAACTGGAGACTGCCACTTCCAGTTCCGATAGAGAGATGGGGGCCTCTAAGGTGTTCTGGTCCGTCTGCGAGAGCATTGGAAGCTGAAAAGTGTATGCAAGGAAGGTACTTAGGTGTCTATCAGGCTGTATTAGTGAAGATGTAGAGGATATTATCAGGATCTCGTGCCGGAGCTCTCTCAGCCGCGTCCGCTCACATGAGTCGCCAAGCCACGCCCCAATCATTCATCATTTAACATAAAAAGACCCCGTCACCAACTTAAATGATTGCGGAAAAAATCAAGTATTTCAATGCTTACATTGCAAGTGAATACAAAAATAATTTATGAAATGGAAAAACCTGCAATGTGCCTCTGACCTTGCTAGGGGGAAGTGGCGGGCACAGGCACATATACAGTGCTGGATTAATAGCCCCCAGCACCCATAAAGAACCGCCAAGAAAGAACATGGACAGAGGGCTGACAAGTTTTTTTACTTCACAAAAGAGAAAAAAAAACTAAAAAAAACAGGATGGGTCACAGCAGGGGTGGGAGGGGGTTCATAGTTTGACCGGAGATGGGTTTTAACAGTAGATGGGGCAGGGATGTGAGTGGGCAGCTAATTAACTGTCCATTACTCAGATGGGCAGGTACATTAGGCACCAACATCACAAGAGGGGCCCGTCTACACTTTATTATTGTTATACAGGATTTATATGGCGCCAACAGTTTGCGCAGCGCTTTACAATATAAGGAAGACATTACAAATCACAATACAAATCAAGACGAGATGGTAAGGAGGGCCCTGCCCTTGAGGACTTACAATCTAAAAAGGGAGGGGTAATTGATACATGAAGAGGGAGCTGTGTGGGGATGAATTGTTTGAGAACGTGATGGTTGAGCGGTTAGGTTGAGGTGGGATCTGCTTCCCTGAAGAGATGAGTCTTTAGGGATTGCAAAGGCAGTCATGGTGGGCGACAGACAAGACAGGTTGGGGTAAAGAGTTCCAGAGGATGGGAGAGACTCTGGAGAAGTCCTGGAGGAGAGCATGGGAGGAGTTGACAAGGGAGCTGGAAAGCAGGAGGTCTTGGGATGAGCGGAGTTGACGGGTAGGGTGATACTTTGAGACCACTTTATATACTAAGCCAGAGCAAAATCCTAGGCAAGAAGATCACAGAACATCAGCAGCCATTGATTTTTCTATGCCGACACTTGATCCAAACTTGTGATCAGTTTCAAGACTGCATAGGGACACTGAGTGACAAGAGCGGTATGCCTGGTTTTTCTTGTGTGTCACTTTGAAACACCCGAGTGTCCCTAAAATATTGGTTCTCTTCCAAACATGCTACTCTAATGTTGCATATCAGGAAGTCGGTGTGCTGGCCTAGCTTTGCTCTTTATTTCTGGAGTTCATTCCTAAAATATAAAATGGAACATCTAGGAACATGCCGATTAATTACCTACCTTATCCAACTGGTACTTCTCCAGCAGGGAGGAGATGAGGTTTTTGGTCTTGGGGCAGTCTACCTCCATGTCTTCCATTAAGCTTCTTGACGAGATAAAGCTGGAATACAACATATATAGGAGAGTTTCAATCAGAGAGAGGATAGAACACAACCTACAGAAGTGGACAATGCACCCATATCAGCGAGATCATGCGACAGCAATGATAACGTTTGGAATGGCACAACCATCCTGGACAAAACATCTAAACCAGGGGCAGCAAACCTCCGGCCCCTCCAGCTGTGGTGGAACTACAAATCCCAGGATGCATCTCTCTTCGGGAGTCATGTCTGCGGCTGCGAGAATCTTGCAATGCCTCATGGGATTTGTAGTTCCACCACAGCTGGAGGGCCCGGAGGTTTGAGACCCCTGATCTAAACTGACTTCTACTCCTGGATATGTGGTAAGGAATCCTAGTGAAAAGTGATCTCACTTGAAGGTTCATTTCATTGCATCTTGAACAGAAATTTCAGATACAGCAAATGTGCTGTATCCCCCCCCCCCTCCCCCCCCCCTTTAGGGCTAGCATGCAAAGAATACTAAAAACAGACAGATAGAGAGATATTACATAATAATCAGCAAAGTTTAATGATAATCTAAATACTCAAGTGTACGTGTTGCAGTCACAAGATTCATAGTTAAGATCATCTAGCATACGGTTTAAAAGAGCTGACAGCACAGTGGCTTGGTGGTTACCACTTTCAAAGCAGGAAGTGTATGTTCTGCAAGTGTAAGGATTTCATAATCGCAGCATTACAATTTTCACTATAAATCACAGGAAATCCAACATCTTGAGCTGTAACCAGAACAGGAACAGAGGAGAAATCTTACAACAGTGTCACCTGTTCCAGTGACGACGGCCATCCGTTCTTTCTATTCCAGGCACCTGCTGCTATTATGACCACAGTGTGGTATAACATTCTCACTCTACTGACAGCTACCAGACAACAGAAGTGCTGCAGCAAGAGGTGTGCATGCCAGTGTCCTGACTCTAATTGGCAAGCATGTTAGGGATCTGGATGTAGGTGGGCAGACATTGCATTATTATACCCTCCATGTAAAACATGATTGACACCTTTATCCTTCAGCGTTTATACCATTTGATGTCTGCCTTGTTGTAGCCTCTCACTTCAATTCCCCTTCAAAATTTCCATATCCTAAGTTCTCATTTTGAGGGTGGGTTCTGCTGCCTTGCAGGGTCCCCCATAGCCCTCGCCATACCCCCCCCCCTTGTGGCCCAAGGAGATTTTATTACTACTTTAGGCTGGGTTGACACCTAGGCGTATCGAATATGCGCGTTTGTCGCGCGTTCCGTGCCACGCATTTTTACCGCGACTCGCGGGTTTAAAAAATGTGCGACAAAAGAGCGTTTCCGAGGGCTACCTGGCTGTATCCTAATGGATAGTGCTGTAAAACGCCCAGGTGGGAACCTCGCCAATAGGCAATCATTGGTTTTCACATGTTGAGCGTTTTACAGAGCGTAGGAACGCGCTGTAAAAACGCTGAGGTGTGAACCAGGCCTTAATGCTTTAGCCATGGCAGGTACAGTCTCCACACTGAAGACAATTATGCTAATAATCAAGTCCAAATTGTGGTCGGTCATGTTACAGGAAAACACTTAGCTGCACCAAGAAAGGCGAGTCTGGGAATGGCCTATAAACCGCAAGGAGACCGAGAGGGACTCACCAGATATTATGGAGTATCTTCTGGCAGTGGTCGTGGAACTGATTGAGCCAGGTCATCAGAATAGTGGGTCCTACGAGAATTACAGGACTGAACGGCTTCCCACGTGAGCTCTGCAAGAAGACAGGATGATAAAAAGCGCCAATACACTTTCAAGTGAGCAGAGACTAAATCTGTTACACGGATACACTTACCAGTGCTCGCTCTCTTTCATACAAGACACGGAGGAGGCCCTGAACGGAGGCAAAATGTAACAGTTACTTACAGTGAATCTAACCTTAAGAAGTAAAGATCTGCAATGTTATAAAAGGAACCTCTAGAAATATAAAATTTGGGATCCACTGATACCGATACTATCGGTATTGGTGCCGATGCCGTGTATTTGGGTGAATACTCCTACTCGCCCAAATGCTCCGATCCCTAGCCCGATACTTCCGGTACCAGTAAGCCGGACAGCGAGTCATTACACGCTGCCCGGCTTCCTGATTGGCCGGGAAGCCGGCTCCATGCTCCCTCATCACTACATGGCGCCCAGGCTCCTCGATTGGCCAGAAAGCCGGCTCCATGCTTTCTCGTCGCCTATTGACGAGAAGCATGGGGACGGCTTCCCTGCTAATTAGGAAGCTGGGTGACAGAGTCCTTACACGCCGCATGGCTTCCCTAATGGGACTTCCAGTATCGGTATTGGGGCGTACTGGAAGAAAAAAAAACAAATATCGGTACTCGATACCGGAAAAACCTGTATCGGTGGATCCCCATATAAGAGGTGCCTCAGTGGTTCCTTTTTGTCTTGAATTCCACCTTAGAAAATAGCAATAAATTTTTTGAGCTCAGGCAATCCTGTTCTGTAGCCCCATAGGTGTATATCTGCATTGTGAGATCGTCTTATGCACTGCTGCCTATGCTACTCTCACAAGACATGGACTGGGATTTGATAATGTCACTACTGTGCTGATCATTGTTGTTTTTCCTGGGGAGGAAGCTGTACCTGAGGACCTGCAGCACAAGGATCTCCCTGCTTCTTCTTCCTCCATCTCTCCTGCTGCTAAATGATTATTTTATTAACTATTATCAGACCACCAGTCATCAAAGGGGGCATCTCTGACATAAAAAGCAAAGCCCTGCCCCCACCAAGATGACTGCCTACACAAAGTCAGTGCAGAACACGACATGTTAAATCTGTATTAGGGAAAAGGTCAGCTGTAAGTTGGCCATGGGTGACTAGTCCTCTGCTAGACTTTGATCGGGCACAGCTTCCGCAGTACAGGTCCTTTAAGATCTGCAAGCACAAAGATTTGCAAAACTATTCTGGGGCCATGTGTTAACCAATCCACGGCTCATCCCATGTACTAAATCCTTCTGAATAATGCATGGACAGAAGCCTGGACAGGAGACCTTTAATACTTGGAAAGTAGGGCTGTTACTGATTAAAATTTTCGTGTTCGATTAATCAAAATTATTTTTCATCGATTAATGATAACGCACATACAGATCCAACCACATTGGCCTATACACATACAGCACAGCAATGAAGTAATAAAATGAACTAGGATCACACTCATCCAGCACGTTATTCATCTCACGTGCCCCACTCAATATGGCCGCCGCTTGAGTGGGGCAACTCAGAATAATAACGTGCTGGATTAGTGTGATCCTAGTTCATTTTATTACTTCATTGCTGTGCTGTATGTGTATAGGTCATTGCTGTGCTGTATGTGTATAGGCCAATGCCTTGGCTGGCGCTCGTGCAGAAAGTTTAAAAAAAAAAGTTTTTACAATCATCAAAAACATTTTAATCGATCAAAAAGATTAACGATTAATCAAGAAATGAATCGTTAATTTGCACAGCCCTATTGGAAAGCCTTTCAGTTAATAAACTGCAGCATCAGAGCCTGAAACACTAAAAAGAAAAAAAATGGAAGCTGGAATGGTATTGCTTGTATTGGAGAAGTCAGTGTCGCTAATGTTTATACTCATTCCTGCAGATTTCATACCAACCGGGCAGAACTCACCGTGTGGTGATCGGCATGAATGTGGGAAACGAACACTGCCGACAACTGGCACAGTATGTCATCCACCTCATCGCCATAGTGCCGATACAGCTGGCCAAATGTCCCCTCTCCACAGTCCAGCAATAAAACCTGGGAGGAACTGGGGGGGGGGCAGAAAAAAAATTAGAGTTTATAGGACTTTCCAGCAGGAATTAGATCTTTAGTACAATACTGTATAAAAAGAACTGAGCCAGTCACATCAGTCTACGCCAGAAGAGTCTACACTTCAGTAACCCACCACACTCACACTATTCTAAATATTACACATTATTATAGCTGACATATATTGCAGTGCTGTACAAAGAAAAGCTTAGCAAGGAAGAACGGCAGCGGGCAGAATAGGTAGCAGGTTAGAGGGAGGGTGCAATATGTGGCAGAGCAAACGGAAGGCAGTACCTAGAATAGGTGGAAGGGCTGGAGGAGGGCAGAATAGGTAGCAGGTTAGAGGGAGGGTACAATATGTGGAAGAGCAAACGGAAGGCAGTACATTGAATAGGTGTCGGGGAAGAGGAGGGCAGAATAGGTAGCAGGTTAGAGGGAGGGTACAATATGTGGAAGAGCAAACGGAAGGCAGTACATTGAATAGGTGTCGGGGAAGAGGAGGGCAGAATAGGTAGCAGGTTAGAGGGAGGGTACAATATGTGGAAGGGCAAACAGAAGGCAGTACCTAGAATAGGTGGAAGGGCTGGAGGAGGGCAGAATAGGTGATAAGGGAGAAGGAGGGCAGTGAGCAGAAGACGTATACATACCTGACATGCACCAGAGTAGAGCTGACATTGCGGGTTTTCATGGGGATGGCAGAACCAGTTCCTAGAAAGACAACCTGAGGATACTGCGGATCCACCCCTAGGATAGAGAAGAATCTATGAGATGGCCAACATATAGGAGCTGAAACTGCCGTCTGCCTTCCTGAAAATACTAGGCGTCTGGCTGTCATTCTGATGCTGAGCCCTGACCTGGAACATGAATGGTGCCACAAAGTCAGCTAGGTCAAAGTTCCGGATCAGCCTACTTGTTCTGGATCAGTGACCCAAAATCTTAAAGCCAGGAAACTAGAATCACAGTCAGGAAGAAACATCAGCAATGGCAGACGTCATAGTTCTATTGGCACAGGTTTTATTTATAGGGAACTACATAAGACATATATTTGTTGATTTTTTCATTGTTTGTTAATTTGTGCTGGAATTATAACATGAAATCGGCCTTCATACAGAGCAGCCACACACCAGAAGTTAAAAAAAAAAAAAAAAATCAGGCTTAAAGTGGGAGTGGCTGCTGGTATGTGAAGCTCACACATTCATCCTGAATGAAGATTGTTGCTCTGTGGAGTTCAAGCTGCACTCCTGCCTGGAGTAATACAATACTAGCAAGTACTTCCATTATGTAAACTTTTGCTGTTCCTTTATACAATCGGTTTTGTTAATTTTTGTGATCCCCCCAAACAGGTTCCTTATTCTTCCAGTTGCATCCTCTTGTGTGTACAACAGCAAATGGTCCCAAGTGACATTTCCTCCTTGTTGTGGTCTATAGAAGGAGAAGTGCAAGGTGGGCAGGTACAATGGCAGCAGCATCCGGTTGCGACCTGCCCACATGCTTTGATTGTCAGCTATGCCAATTATATTTTACATATAAACAATGAATGGGCACATAATTTAGGAAATAAAAGCAAGATTTATTGGAAAAGTAAAGGCTTTAAAGAATATAAAGTGGGCAGGATCCTGGAGTCCAGTTTTTAGCGCAACGTCTACACTCCATGAAAAATGTTAGAAGAGATCACTGTGTTTACCAGCAGCCGGTGAGAGATCGGACTCCAGGAGCAGCCTGCATTCCTCCAGTGCCTCCTTGAAACCGGGCAGCTCCAAGGCCTCCTTCACAAACTCTGAGGTTTTGTTGCTGGTGACCATGTCCCTGAAATATCAAATCACTGTGTGATCAAAGAGGAAAGAAACTTCTAGGTCTGGCTACTGACTCACAACTGCTCTGCTAAGCTAAAGGGTTAACTATAGTTGCACAAACCTTAAATCTACCTGACCTTCCACCCCATGCCAACTATACGTCTCTGTAATTACCTGAGATTAGCGGATCACCTGGTATAGGAACAATGGCCTACTGAAGGCGGTTCTTTGATCATCTTCTCAGTCGGCAGGGCAATGATACCGCTCCCAACAGCTGAGAAGAGGACTGGAGCATTGTCCAGCACAGGGGTAGCCAAATCCTGGCCCTCCAGCTTTGGTGGAACTACAAATCCCATGAGGCATTGCAAGATTCTCACAGCCACAGAAATGACTCCTGGAGAGATGCATAATGGGATTTGTAGTTTGACCACAGCTGGAGGGCTGGAGTTTGGCTACCTCTGGTCCAGCAGATCGGCAAAGCCTGCTCCCCATTCCAGCATGGACTCAGCAGCTCATCTTCCCCTACGCCCCCCTTCCAGCAGTGATTTGGTAGCTCAGCTCCCACTGCAGCCTACAGTGGGCAGTTCTGTGATCCTCTTGATAGTCGGTAGGGCAATGATACACCCCCACCAGCTGAGAAGAGGGATGGAGCATTACCCAGCATAGGCCTCACCTCCTAAACAGGAACACCAACTGATCTAACTTAGTGCAATGAGACATAGTGTATATTAACATGAAAAGGTGAGGGGCATACATTGGGCTTCAATTCATTTCAATTATAGTGAACCTTTAAGAAGCAGCTCCTCAAAATAATGTCATCTCTGTTACGTGTGGAGTTGCTTCATAAGGCCTTCACTGCAGTAACAGATCCCTCACAATATGACCCAAAGAGTAGTAGAAACCCAACAGCAGTTCTCATTCTCCCCCTGCTACCCGCTACTATCAGTGGTTTAGCAGATCACCACGCCTTGCTACCCCTCCCAGCAGTGACTCAGCAGCTTACCTCCCAGTGCACAGTAATGAGGCGCCCGCTTACCTCTGCCATTCTGTGGTCGGTCTCAGCTGGTATTTCAGAAGGCATTCTGCTTTAACTCCACAGACGCCATTTTCCGCCTCCTCCTGCAAAGCAAAAACATACAGTGCCTTTCTATAGACGGCTCACACAAAGCACCGCAGAACTACAAATGTCAGTCCGCACAGCCTCTTACCTTCCTGGAAAGCTCAGGGAGCTGTGGAAAGATACGGGGGTGGATGAGGTTTAGCTGGGTCTGAATCCTGTAGGCACTTTGGTTATGGATAGAGGAAACGCTCTCATTTAGGATCAGGTGCTCCGTCCCTGGGCCGAACCTGGAAGAGGAGATGCAGAAAAAAAAGAGAAAGCCCTTCCAGTTACATGAAATCCTTCCTGAAATGGCATTCGACTGGATAATCACTGCACTAAAATTGATTTAACCCCTTCGTGACTGACGACGTACAGTGTACGAGACCTTTCAGCACAAAATGGACTTCCTCTCATCCGTTCATTCCGTCGTCCCCATTAGTTTTTGTATGTTTGCCAACTTATTTTTTTTTGTAGCACCCGTCCCTTCCCAATAATGCCCCTAGGCAAGGGTGACATAGTTGTTATCAGCCACCCGCTGCTTCCTGGGATGGCCACATCACACTTACTAGAGGCAGTGTTACATTAACAGAGGAAGTAGCACACCATTTTGATCAATTCAAGTATTTAGGACCTAGCAGGGAGAGACCTGCGGCATGTCTGCACATGCGCAAGATCCAGTGGCACATCATCAGGAAGTAATAGCCACCTCCTGATAATCCTGTTGAAGGAGGAGCCAATCATCTCAAGTTGCTGGCCTGGAAGATGATTGGAGAAAGAATGCTGAACTCTACGGACTAGGAAGGGTATTTTTTTTTTTTGATCATACAAGGACACTTATTAGAGAGGCTGCATTTAGCTTTGCATAGGTAGCAGGAAGGTACTCATTAGTAAAATGCTCAGAACATTTGACTCAGAAGATGGTGCAGACCGATAACTCCCTGACTTGAAAGGGCAGAAGAATTTTATTGCTTCAACAGAACAAAACTTACCGTTCCATCCAGTGCCTGTAGCTGCTGTGATTGAGAATGTGTTCCGGAGTCATATGGACCATCAGAGTGACCCCGCCATCCGGATTCCCCTCATGAAGTCTGAAAACACAATTATATCATTCATTCCAGTGCTGGTGCCATTCCAATATCCCCAAATCTACTAAAGCTGACAAACTTGAATGACATATATGACATATCAAACGCGTGGTCAGAGTACTCTTAGCCTGAGATTTACACAGCAGTTAGGTTGAGGACATTACTTTTTTCTCTACTGCAGTAATGCAATACAGTCAGGTCACTTTTACCACCCACAGCCACTGACTGGGCAGAGAAGGAGCAGCAGAACACTGATGGTCATTCCTCTGCTCTCTCCCCTGTTGGTATGTTCTCTGTGAGCATTTGAGAATGTGCTGCCTCTCCCACTTTCAATCTGAATCAAATTCAGGTACTCACATTAGCTGCTTTTAAAGATACTCTTTATGTGTCCGGTCAGGACAGCAAGTTCTCCGACCAGCCGTTTAATTACAACGGCCAGTCATGTGGTAGTTAAAGACCAACTTCACCCTCCTTCATTTCCAAAACAGTATTTTATGCTTTTCTGGTTTGATACTTGACTTTTTCCAGAGGTCTTTGGGTTGCTCACATGATGCTGCAGAAACCCTGTCCTCTTCTCCAGGATGATCAGACCTCAATGATAGAGTGTTGCTCACATAACGTCGGGACCTTTCTCTACATCATAACGCGGGGTACACCCCTTTCAGGAGGCAGGTCTGTAACACCCTGCACTCACATTATGTCCTCAGTCTTACAAGTTGACTAATGCTAGGTGACAGTCAACCCAGAAGACTGAGGACACCTTGTGGTGGAGAGGAGGTACTCTGGGGGACAGCGCTGGAGAGAAGGCGAGTATTGCAGCCAGCGCTGCTTTTATATTATAAACT